AGACATACATTAAAAAATTAGATAATTAGAAAATCTACAGACTCTAGAAAGTCCTTGGATTTCACTGAAAGGGAAATAAGCAAAAATGGATAGAATCCAACAAAAAGTCCAGCACCCACCTGAGGGAAATCATTATGGACCCTTCAATTGGAAGTTCATATGACTATTAAATGTCCAAAACAACCCCTTAACTAATTCAACCAATCGCTCTCAATTTAATCTTTTTGACCAAATACCCACCTTATTAACCAATGCAATTCCCCCAAAAAGGCCATCCCCTTTAAAGAGCAGCCGGATGGAATGGCAACCGTGCCCTTCCAAAGGAGGAAGGAGGACACCCCCTGCCATTGTCAAAACGGTAATTAACTCTCTTTCTGCTTTTCACTTCATTGTTTGACTTTACAGATGTGGCAAAATCTCAAATTTAATTACTCTCTGTTTATTTAGATAAAATTTAATAAAAGAAAGGAAAGAGGAGGGAAGAAAAGAAAGGAGAAGTGAATGAAAAGAAATAATTAATGTTAATTTTGTTTAGATAGATAAAAATAGAAGAGATGGAAGCATAATATTTTTATTTAATTAAATAATTTTTTAAAAAATAAAACAAAATTTGTAAAATTTACTAATTAAAAAAATAATTGATATAAAATATATTTATAAATTTATTTTTTTAAAAATTTTAAAAAATAAATATATAAAACCAATTCCTCTGAAATTTGAAGGGATTGAAAACAAAAAAAATGAAATAAATTATATCTTCTATCACCTTCCACCCCTTCTAATAAAATTAATAATCTAAACACGAACAAAACGGTATCTCTCTTTTCATCTCCTTTCTTTTTTCTCTAACTTTCCCCACCTAAACTAAGGGTTAAAATTAAGTGATAGGGACAGATTTAATCTTAGAAAAAAAAAAAGATAAAGATAAATTTATTTATAAAGTTTTTGATTTAGATAAATCACTTTAAATTTAAACATGTAATGACAAATGATATTAGTAATTTATTAATAATAAATTTATTAATGATATAATAAATTAATAAATTAATAAATTATTGACATTATCTAATGTCACACATTAAATTTAAAATATTTATCTAAATTAAAATTTTTTTAAATGAATTTATCTTATTTGTTGTTCAGAATAAATTTAACTTTACCGCCAACTTTGAGAGTAGGTTTATACACTCTGACGTCACTACTCATATAACTAGTATTGTAATTGTATATTCTTTCATTTCATATTACAACTTGTATGAGTTTTTGTAAGTGCGAATGGGACTAAATTGATTAACTATTATTATTAGTTGGTCGTTGATGCATTGACAATTTTATTCAATAACAAATTTTTGTAATGATAGTGTTATTTGGGAGTTTCCTACTGATCAAAGGTTAATCATTTTAAATTAAAGCCTTGGATTGCCGTTTAGGTTTTTCTTTTTTTTGGATGTTGATTGCACAATTGAAGGTAAATATTTTTTATCTTTTATCTTACCTCACTTGCATGTCATACGATTCAAACTCAAAATCTCTTATTTTCAACGAAGGGAGATAATCACTAAGTTATTTAGGTCGTTGGTTGATTGCCGTTTAGGTTAACACAAGTTGTAATTAGTGATGTGTGTATGATATTGTGTTAAAAATGTAAATTCAAAATTTTTTTTCCTTTAAATGCAAATAATTTTAGCAACCTTATACCAATTACTATTCAATAAAATATAAGTTAATAATAAAATACACATTATTTAAAGATATTGAGAAAAATTAAAATATCTTAGCAATTAAAATGTACAAATTATTATAAAAAATTGAAATACCTTTAATAAATTAAAACACAATAAAATTTTATTAAAAATATTTTAATATTTTTACAAGTAATCTTAACATGGTAAATATAAAAATATCTTTATTTTTTCTTATCCATCATTTAGAAAAAATAAAAATACCAAATTTGGACAGCGAGATGACGAAGAAGAAAATTTTTTGAAAATTTTGTCTTTAAAAATATGTTTTATTATTATTATTTATTATTAATTATATAAAAAATTAAATTAATTTTTATCAATTATTTAATTAAACCATTTCATATACTGTTGAAGTTGAAAATAAAATTTATTTTCATAATTTATATATATTAATAATAAAAAATATAATAAATACAATTCTAACTTACCTGTTAAGAATGCGTGTTGGATTTTTTTTTTTGAAAAAAAGTTGATTATATGACACGGTATTATGGCAGTTCCGTAATTTAACGAAATCGTGATCGCATTTTTGACTCCTACAAATACAAACAAATATCAAAGTCTAGCATTAAGTAGACTAGACTCAGTGAGTCTGCAACCCCCAACAGAACTGAAGGCTACCTTACCTCCTTCGCGGGCTTCTTCCACTGCACCGGAAAGGCGCCACTCTGAATATCAGTCCTCTAAACGGTGATTTCTGCCTTCGCCGGGAATAAGTATATTCAGACATGTGTACGCTACATGTATAAAAAGGATCAGCTTCTGGAAGATACGGCTAGCGGGTTCTTGTCACCGGTATGCATCCTTTCCCACTTCCATGTATCCCGGTTAACTAATGGGTTGTGTCATTGGAAAGCCGTCAACACGAAGTGATCGACGGAGCGTTGCTGGGGATTCGCCCCTCAGCACTCGTCGCCGGAGCTCCGATGAGGGGTCGATCATTATTACCGTCGCTGGTGGGGCTGACGCTGTTGGGGATAGGAAAAGACTGGGGAGACAACAGCAGCAGAAAGCGAGACATACCGGGAATTTTCCGGTGAATGGTCTGGGTCCAGAGCGTCGGAGGTTGTCTCTGGAGGTGAACCAGCAGGGGTGGCCATCATGGCTTGTCGCTGTCGCCGGCGACGCCATTCGTGACTTGACCCCTCGTCGTGCTAATACTTTCGAGAAACTCGACAAGGTAAGAACAAACAGGACATAAACCTCTCAGAAAGCCAAGCGATTTCCAAATCTATCAGCTTTTAACATTTCTATTTGTCGGTGTTTCTTAGATTGGGCAAGGGACTTACAGTAATGTGTACAAAGCCAGGGATCGTCTGACTGGGAAGATAGTGGCATTAAAGAAGGTTAGATTTGATAATTTGGAGCCAGAAAGTATCAAGTTCATGGCTAGAGAGATTCTAGTGCTGAGGAGGCTTGACCATCCAAATGTAGTTAAGCTTGAAGGTTTGGTTACTTCTAGGATGTCTTCTAGTCTCTACTTGATTTTTGAGTACATGGAGCATGATCTTGCCGGACTTGCTGCCTGCCAAGGTATCAAGATCAGTGAGCCTCAGGTATGCTTGTGTTAATTTTTAATTTTGATTTGTTTTTGTTTTATGTTAAGCTTTGTGTTTAATTAGTTGTGTGCTCTGGAGGGTTGCTCTTGGTTTTTGGGTGCTTCGCAAATTCTTATCTTTGCCTCGAATTGGCATGTTCGGCTCATGTGTTTGTGTTTGTCCTTTCTGTTTTGCTTGTTGTGAACTTTGATGTTATTGCAGGATCTTTTCTAGCTTCTTGGGTCCCATTTCTTGTAGTAATCTTCTGTTTTTGTGTTTTTTACATGGTTTTTTTCTTGTTCTCTTTTGGGAAAGCAAATTCATTGAAGTTTCCTTCATCATTCACCTTCAGGGTCTTGATTGGTATTTCTTGAACCCTTCATCTATTGCAGTAGTTTTCAGATTGAATGGCTGGGATTTAGAGGAAAGAAAATAGGTTAATTGTAATATTGAGACACCTGAGTAACAAAAGCCTTTTTCCATTTTGCTTTTTCATATGCAAAATTATACATATAGGATAAATATGTTAGATTTGAATATGTGTCTAGGAGTGAATTGGATTTAGGTAATCTTTCTAAAAGCTTAATAGAATCAGGCTTAACAACCATCTAGCAAAAACTAGAAAATGTCCCCAGTGTCAGGGCTGTCATGGTTTGTTGCATGCTTGAATTGTCAACCTTTTGTGTTGCCAGGTTTCCTTCAACAGGTTGATTGATTTCCCAATATAACTTCTCTGTGGCAGGTGAAGTGCTATATGAAGCAGTTACTCTCTGGGCTTGAACATTGCCACAACCGAGGTGTATTGCACCGTGATATTAAGGGTTCTAATTTGCTAATTAGCAATGAAGGGATTCTAAAAATTGCTGATTTTGGATTGGCTACCTTCTTTAATCCTGATCATAAGCAGCCTCTGACTAGTCGAGTTGTCACTCTCTGGTACCGACCGCCTGAACTTCTTCTTGGGGCCACATATTATGGTGTTGGTGTGGACCTCTGGAGTGCTGGCTGCATTTTGGCAGAGTTGCTAGCTGGGAAGCCAATAATGCCAGGAAGGACAGAGGTATTAGTTTTCTTCTTTTGTTTGGCTTCTCTTGTGGTTGCTACTCTAGATATTTTCATATTTCTTTGAGATTGTTTTTTGACTGTAAATTTGTAAAGCTAGCCCCAAAGCAACAATGGGAGTCTCTATCCTTGGCCATGTGTGTTTTCTCAGCAGATATACACGTTTGTATATTAGAGTACATTTCAGAATCTAGTGAATTTAAATCAATCTAGCTCGTCTTGATTGAGCTTTTAGCTTTTAGATGGTAAGAGCTTTTATGTCTAAGACAATTGGGAATGAAAGATGATAAGAGCTGATAATTCTACTTGGTCTTGGCTTCTTCAGCTACCAGTATCAGTCTGTAATTGAAAATAGCAGTATGAGTAGTTGTAGGCTGTTTCTCTTTTTTTCATTTTAATTTCTGAACTTGCTTGAGAAGCATTTGTTTCAGATCAGAGATTATCATGTGTTTATGATTTCTAGTCAAGCAGAGTATACACTTTTTTATCTCAATTAATGTTAAATTTGTTGATTTTTGTTTGGTTTTCTAGTTGTTAGGTATTTGTTTGACTCTTTTGGATTTATTCTTTGCTTAGGTTGAACAACTACACAAGATATTTAAGTTGTGTGGCTCTCCCTCTGAGGAGTACTGGAAGAAATCGAAATTGCCAAATGCAACACTCTTTAAGCCTCAGCAGCCATACAAACGCTGTATAGCAGAAACCTTTAAGAATTTCCCGCCTTCATCTATACCTCTAATTGAAACTCTTCTATCCATAGACCCTGCTCAGCGAGGCACTGCCACTGCAGCTCTGAATAGTGAAGTTAGTGGTTTTACTAACCTTATTCTTCTGTCAAACAACAAAAGAAATTATTTTTCAATGACTATTTTTATTTTGAAAATGTCTTTTATGTTATATTTCTCCTTTTGCTGTCATATTATTCATTGCAATGAAGCTGTATAATCTGTTTTGAAATATTGTTTAGATGCATGTGTTTATAACATACTTGACTGAATAATTGGTTTCCTATATGCAGTTCTTCACCACTGAACCATATGCTTGTGAGCCAGCAAGTTTACCAAAGTATCCTCCTACCAAAGAAATGGATGTCAAATTGAGAGATGAAGAAGCAAGGAGGTCTGTTTTCTTTCTTCCTTTATTCAACTTTTCATTTTCTTGGTCTGGCCTTAGGGCTCTTGGGCATATGCTGAAGGTGGTATCTCTGCTATCTTACAGACAAAAAGGTCTAGGTTGTAAAGCTAATGCAGTTGATGCTGCCAAAAGAGTTAGAAATCGTGAACGTGCTGGGCGGGCAACTGCAGCCCCTGAAGCAAATGCAGAAATTCAAGTGAACATAGATGTATGTAGGATATTTTTCTTTGCATTTCATCTTTTTACTCTTTATTTTCTGTCATGGTGTCCCAAATCCCAACACAATTTCAAAATTTTTACTCTACAAACATTTTCTGACGTGGATCTTTCAATCTAATCTCACATATCATGGTGCCCCAAACCTGTTGTGCTGACACTCTTTGGGGTTGGACTTAGAATCCAACTATGGATTTTGGCTTTCTTCACACTCTGTAGTCTGTATTAGCCTTTATAATTCATTAGTCTAAAATTTGAGTTTCGGGACTACAATCACTAGTAATGCCTTTGCTCTAGATTTCTCTACATTTTCATGTATTTGATTGGATTTTCTACTTGTTCCATACAAAGTCTTTGTTCTTTGTTATTTTCTTTGGTTATCTACATTTTGGATTCTAATAACTTGGATTCATGTTTATATCTACTTCTCTCCAGAGGTGGAGAGTAATGGCACAAACAAATGCTAAAAGCAAGAGTGAGAAATTCCCACCTCCCCATCAAGATGCAGCGGTTGGACATCCACAAGATTCATCACACAAAGCCCATGTATCATTTGGCACAACAGGCACTTCTTTCAGCTCATCATTTTTCAATAACAAGTCACCTGGATTTGCTAGTAGTGGTGGAGCTCCAGGAGGCCCTTCCAGGAGGAGGAAACCCAATAAAGAAGACCCCAAAAGGGCTCCATCCCGAAGTTTCATCCATGGTCTGAAGTCATCCGCAATAGTGCTATCAATGGACATGCTATTTAGGGGTAAATCCGAGGTCTTTGGCAGCCATAAATAAAGATACAAGTGTTTATACATCTTCTATAGATACATATATTTCTGAGAAGTAGGTATTCAGTTGCATTTTTCCCATTTGTTTTTCCTGAGTTGTTGGTATAAATAACTGGTGTATAGCCTGAAACCCCATCAACTTAGATGAATGATCTGCAAAAGGAATTCCACTTTTTGTTGTGTATATATATATATATATATAGAGAGAGAGACTCTAGACAGGTTTCAGAATCTTTTCAATGAAATTATTATTTTATTTTTTTGATAAGAGTAATAGTTAAAAAGTTAGTATGAGTTAGTTGTTAGCAACTGAGATTTTCAGATTGGTGAACATGTCACCTTCTCAAATGAAGCGCGCAGCCATTAAATCGTTTTTTGATGGAGTTTATGACGGTGATAGAATTTGAAATTTTGACCACCGCCTCACCCAAGCCTTAAAAATTGGAGTTAACCATTGGGCCTCAACCCGGTTCGCCAGAGAATCTTTTCAATGAAATTAGTTTCCCTCAAGTGTGTAAAAATTTGCTGTCTTTATTGAATCTATGACTATGAAGCATCCTGCAGGAAATAAATGGAGTGATGTTAGGTGGAGTGAAAGCTTCTGAATGAGATGTTCCCCATTTTTTCTTGCTTTCACATTTGC